GGGAACACATTATTTATGGGACGGTCCTTAGATGATGTTCAACGCAATAAAATCCTCGGGACTGTAGAAGAAGGTTTCCTCTCCACAGACAAGTTCAGCCGTTCTCTCTATAAGTCATCACCAGTCTCACGCCGCACTGTCCACCAATCACATTATTTATTTCCTTTACGTCCGGGCAATTTTTTATTTGCCATTTTTTAGCGATCCTGTTGATGGATGGTTCTTGCCAGAGGCAGGTCCACCAGTGTGACTCCCTGCTGATCTTAGTAAAAAGTATGCCTTATGGTGTCACTCCAAGCTATGGATGGAAGGAAAAGGATCCCATCACCGGCAAGTCAGAAGAGGTGAGTATAAGTCTAGGCAACTTCTGTGACTAAGCCCCAGTGGGCAGGGCAAAACGCATCAAAGGGAGTGGACATAATGGTGGCTGAGGCCATTCTTCAACATTGGACTCTTGGGGTTGAGGTTTTCGGTCAGTTTGTTCTCAGAGATAACAATCCGGACGAGATTCCAGTGTCCTGGGAACACATTATTTATGGGACGTTCCTTAGTCCAAGTCAGAAGAGGTGAGCATGAGTCCAGGCAACCTCTGTGACCAAGCCCGGGGGGGGGGGGGCAAACGCATCAGAGGACATGGCGAGAATGGTGGCTGAGACCATTCTTCAACATCGGACTCCTGGGGTCAGTTGAGCAGCATCCGTCCCTTCACTTGTATTACGTATTGATCTTGCCAGAATGCCAGTGTCCTTGTAGGTTTCTGTGCACTTCATACAATCATTTCCAAAAATCTTGCCCCCCCCCCCCCCGCATTTCTGTCAGATAACGGACCACTTCACCCAGAAAATTGTTACAATGACAAATGTTTCAGTATTCTCATGTTTATGTCTTTTGTTTGTATCGGTATGACACAAAAAAATGGACAAACAAAAAGCCAAATCTGACCCATTCCACGCAAAACCCCAAAAGTGGACCGGACAAAATTATTGGCACCTTCTCCACATTGTAAGAAATAATTGCATTCCAAGTTTGTGATGGTCCTGTGATTTGTCATTAAACTCCCCCGTATCCATGACCAGGTGCTACCAATATAGAAATCACACCGACAACCGGGGACAATGGTGAAAAAATGGACTCCACCTTTCTGTTGTGTGTCTCTGTGTGCCACATGGAACATGGAGGAGAGAAAGAATTGTCTGAGGACTGGAGAACAAAAATGGTGGAAAAGCATGGACAATCTCTAGGTTACAAGTCTATCTCTAGAGATCTTAATGTTCCTGTGCCCACTGTGCGCAACATTGTCCATAAATTTACAGCCCATGACACTGTAGCTAATCTCCCTGGATGTGGATGGAAGAGAAAACTTGATCAAAAGATTGCAATGAAGGATTGTTGGAATGGTGGCTAAAGAACCTCCATCAACTTCCAGACAAATCCAAGCTGACCTTCAGGCACCTGGTACAACTGTGTTCGCTCCCACTATATGTCACCATCTGGATGGAAAGGGGCGCTATGGTAGGACCCCAGGAGGACCCCACTGCTGACACAGAAATATGGTAGGAAACCTAGGAGGACCCCACTGTTGACACAGAAATATGGTAGGAGGCCCAGGAGGGCCCCAATGCTGACACATAAATATGGTAGGAGACCCAGGAGGACCCCACTGCTGACACAACATATTGGAAGCCAGATTGGAGTTTGCCAAAACTTACCTGAGGAAGCCAAAATCCTTTTTGGAGAATGTGCTGGGGACAGACGTAACAAAATGGCAGCTTTTTGGTAAATCCCATCATTCTACTGATTTCAGAAAAAGCAATGAAGCCTTTAAAGAAAAGAATCCAGTCCCTCCAGTCACACATGGTGGGGGGTCACAGTCCCTCCAGTCACACATGGTGGGGGGTCACAGTCCCTCCAGTCACACATGGTGGGGGGGGTCACAGTCCCTCCAGTCACACATGGTGGGGGGGGGGTCACAGTCCCTCCAGTCACACATGGTGGGGGGTCACTGATGGTTTGGGGTTCCTTTGCTCCATCAGGCACTGGATGTCTTGGCCGTGTACATGGCATTATGAAATCTGAAGACTACCAAAGAATTCTGGTGTGCAATGTAGGGCCCGGTGTCAGAAAGTTGGGTCTCCATCAGAGGTCATGGGTCTTCCAGCAGGACAATGACCCCAAAGCACACGTCACAAAGCCCCCAGAAATGGTGTCAGACAAAGCACTGGAGAGGACTGAACTGGCCAGCAATGAATCCAGATCTCCATCCCATAGAGCTCCTGTGGAGAGATCTCAGAACAGCAGTTGGGAAAAGGAACCGTTCAATCTGAGAGACCCGGAGCAGTTGGAGGAAGAAGAGCGATCCAAAATTCCAGCAGAGAGGTGGAAGAAACTCATTGATGGTGACAGGAAGCCGATGATTTCAGTTATTTTTCTTTCCAAGGGTGTGCCACCAGATATTACATGGAGGGTGCCAATAATTTTGTCCATTTTTGGGGTTTTGGGTGGAATGGGTCAGATTTGGCTTTTTGTTTCTCCACTTTTTTGTGTTACTACCGATACAAACCAAAGAAATAAACACGAAAATGCCGAAACATTTGTCATCGCGGCAATTTTCTGGGTGTAGCAGTGCGTTATTGGACAGAAATGAAAGGAGGGCAGGAATTTTGGCCAAGAATATGTATATATATATATTACAAAATATATGAAAAATATTTTTAAAACTACATTTTCAAATATACTGTATGTCTTTAAAAATACATTTAATCTACATTTGGCACCATCAATCCCGCCCCGCAAGCCAAAGTCCTTGGCGTCATTCTGGACTCAAACCTTTCCTTCCAACCTCATGTCAAATCACTTACATCACATGCAGACTTCACCTCCGCAACATCGCCAAGATACGCTCCTTCCTTACCCCAGACACCACTAAACTACTCGTACACTCCCCTGATTATCTCACGCCTGGACTACTGCAACTCCCTCCTCACCGGCCTACCCCAGTGCAGGCTATCCCCGCTTCAGACCATCCTGAACTCAGCGGCTAGACTCATCCACCTCACCACCACCCGCTCCACCTCTGCCACCCCCCTCTGCCTCTCCCTCCACTGGCTCCACCCCCCTCTGCCTATCCCTCCACTAGCTCCACCCCCCTCTGCCTATTCCTCCACTGGCTCCCTATCGCCCAACGCATCAAATTCAAACTACTCACTCTGACCTACAAAGCCATTCACAACACTGCCCCTACCTACCTCACCAAACTGATTCCCAGGTACCACCGTACCCTTCGCTCTTCACAGGACCTCCTTCTATCTTGCCCCCTGGTCTCCTCCTCCCACGCACGACTGCAAGACTTCTCCAGGTCCTCCCCCATCCTCTGGAACTCACTACCCCCAATCCATCAGACTGTCACCTTCCCTCTTCATCTTCAGGCGCTCCCTGAAAACCCACCTCTTCAGGGAAGCCTACCCCACCCTCACCTAACTGCTGCTCTCCTTCATTCCTCCTACCACTCCATCCCCCACAGCCACTTCCTCCTGTACCACTACCCCCTCCCTCCTAGATTGTAAGCTCCAAGGATCAGGGCCCTCGATCCCCTCGTGTGCTGTTTGTAGTTGCTGTACTGTTTCATGTATTGTCCCCCCCCCCTCTATTGTACAGCGCTGAGCAAACCCTTTGGCGCTATATAAACTCAATGTATTGTAATAATGTAATGGATGAATTTACAAATATATGTAAAAACATATGTTAAAATTACTTTTTTATATGTTAAAAAAAATCTGAAGAATACATTTTAAAAAATATATATTTTTAAAAATATTTTTCCTATATTTTGTAATATATATAAAACGCATTTCAACATACAGTGTGTGTGTGTATCAGGGGCGGACTGACAACTCATGGGGCCCCCGGGCAATAGGGGATCATGGGGCCCCTGTGTCCTTGCCCACACTCAAAAAAGCCTATGAAAGGTACCAGGGACATCTCATGGGGCCCCCTACTGACTCCGGGCCCTCGGGCAGTCCCGAGTTCCCAAATGGTCAGCCCGCCCCTGGTGTGTGTGTATATATATATATATATAAGTTTTGTATACACACATTTCTGAGTTTAGCATTGCTATATAAATTGTTGGAAGGTCTTGTGAAGTTAGTCTCTCGCGCCTCTTCTAGGTCCACACCAACTTTTCCTTTTTTTTTTAAAACTGATTATTCCCCGAACCCTTTCAGCCTTCCGGATAGCGCCGGCTAACCACGCTCTATAATTACTGTAACGTTGTGTTTTTTCATGTTTGCAGACATACTGCAATTTCCAATAAAAAGCTCCACAGGTAGCCTTTGAGAACACGGTTGAGGAAAACAATAATTTATTTTTCCCTACAGTATTTTTGCAAAATCAAAGGGTTTATTTAAGGCTGCATAAATAGGAAGAAAAAGAAATATGGATTAGAGAAAATGAAATCCCGTATGCATTTGCATGCACTGCGGAACGACTTGCCATCAATTCTCCTTTTTCTTCTTAAGAATTAAAAAAAACGAATCTTGTGAAGACTTAAAGTAAGAAGAATGCCAACAGAAATGCATCGTATGGTTCCTGATGGAGGATGACAAAGCAAGCCCTCCTGTATGACTGTACCTACCTTCCTCTAGACACATGACTTTTAAATGCCATCATATGCGAGTGTTACTGCCCGTGTAGGGAAACCATGCTTTTCCCATGGAAGGCAAACCAAAGGGTTGACTATAATGGTGGCCCCCAAAATTGCCCATACTTACTTTCCAATTACTCCTCCTCTTTTCTGTTGACTCAGCAAAGAAAAGTGAGATGTCTGTAAGCAAGTGCAGTTAGCTATTCTGCCACTAGGTGACTCTGTTCCAGAATAGTGAGTGGCAACAGAGAATAGTGTAATCAGGTGTTAGGTCCCTTTTAGCTAGAGCCCCCCCTGTAGTCATGTCATGAGTCAGTCAATGAGCATATACACTACATTGCCAAAAGTATTGGGCCAGCCCTCCATATCATGTGATTCAAGTGTTCCAATCCCTTCCATATCATGTGATTCAAGTGTTCCAATCCCCTCCATATCATGTGATTCAGGTGTTCCAATCCCCTCCCAATCATGTGATTCAAGTGTTCCAATCCCCTCCATATCATGTGATTCAAGTGTTCCAATCCCCTCCCAATCATGTGATTCAGGTGTTCCAATCCCCTCCAAATCATGTGATTCAGGTGTTCCAATCCCCTCCAAATCATGTGATTCAGGTGTTCCAATCCCCTCCCAATCATGTGATTCAAGTGTTCCAATCCCCTCCCAATCATGTGATTCAGGTGTTCCAATCCCCTCCCAATCATGTGATTCAAGTGTTCCAATCCCCTCCATATCATGTGATTCAAGTGTTCCAATCCCCTCCCAATCATGTGATTCAGGTGTTCCAATCCCCTCCAAATCATGTGATTCAGGTGTTCCAATCCCCTCCAAATCATGTGATTCAGGTGTTCCAATCCCCTCCCAATCATGTGATTCAAGTGTTCCAATCCCCTCCCAATCATGTGATTCAGGTGTTCCAATCCCCTCCCAATCATGTGATTCAAGTGATCCAATCCCCTTCATATCATGTGATTCAGGTGTTCCAATCCCCTCCCAATCATGTGATTCAGGTGCTCCAATCCCCTCCCAATCATGTGATTCAAGTGTTCCAATCCCCTCCCAATCATGTGATTCAGTTGTTCCAATCCCCTCCCAATCATGTGATTCAGTTGTTCCAATCCCCTCCCAATCATGTGACTCAGGTGTTCCAATCCCCTCTTGATCATGTGATTCAGGTGTTCCAATCCCCTCCATATCATGTGATTCAGGTGTTCCAATCCCCTCCATGGACACAGGTGTATACAATCATCCCCTAGGCATGCAGACTGCTTCTACAAACATTGGTGAAAGAATGGGTCGCTCTCAGGAGCTCAGTGACTCCAAGCGTGGTCCCGTGATAGGTGGCCACCTGGGCAATAAGTCCATCCGTGACATTTCCTGGCTACTAAATATTCCACGCTCAACTGTTAGTGGGATTATGACAAAGTGGAAGCCATTGGAACAACAGCCACTCAGCCACCAAGTGGTAGGCCACGTCACATGACAGGGTCAGCGCATGCTGAAGTGCACAGTGCGCAGAAGTCACCAACTGTCTGCAGAGTCAATAGCTAAAGACCTCCAAACTTGGTGTGGCCTTCAGATGAGCCCAACAACAGTGCATAGAGAGCTTCATGGAATGGGTTTCCATGGCCGAGCAGCTGCATCCAAGCCTTCCATCACCAAGTGCAATGCAAAGTGTCAGATGCCGTGGTATAAAGCACGCCGCCACTGGACTCTAGAGCAGAGGAGACATGTTCTCTGGAGTTACCAATCACACATCTCTGTCTGGCAATCCGATGGACGTGTCTGGGTTTGGCTGTTGCCAGGAGAACGATACTTGCCTGACTGCATTGTGCCAAGTGTAAAGTTTGGTGGAGGAGGATTATGGTTTGGGGGTGTTTTTCAGGGGTTTGGCTTGGCCCCCTAGTTCCAGTGAAGGGAACACTTAAGGCGACATTTTGGACAATTTCATGCTCCCAACTTTGTGGGAAGAGTTTGGGGATGGCCCCTTCCTGTTCCAACATGACTGCCCACCAGTGCACAAAGCAAGGTCCATAAAGACATGGAGGAGCCGGTTTGGGGTGGAGGAACTTGACTGTCCTGCACAGAGTCCTGACCTCAACCCCATAGAACACCTTTGGGATGAATTAGAGCGGAGACTGCGAGCCAGGCCTCCTCCCCCGACATCAGTGCCTGACCTGACAAATGTGCTTCTGGAAGAATGGTCCAACCTTCCCATAGACACCCTCCTAAACCTTGTGGACGGCCTTCCCAGAAGAGTTGAAGCTGTTATAGGTGCAAAGGGCGGGGCCAACTCAATATTGAACCCTACGGACTAAGACTGGGGGCCATTAAAGGTCATGTGTGGAAAGGGCGGGGCCAACTCAATATTGAACCCTACGGACTAAGACTGGGGGGCCATTAAAGGTCATGTGCGTGGAAAAGCAGACACCCCAATACTTTTGCCAATATGTTGTATATGTCAGGTTGGGAGGAACCCTAGTGCAGTCGGGGCACTGGAGCCAGTTACCCATCAGCATGCAGATGTAGTCAGTTATTGTAGAGACCCTGGACAGAGCTGGAGGAAGGTGAGATAGTTCTGCACCCAGAAGAGTCAGCTGTAGTCTTCTTGTCTCTTATGGTTGGTGGAGGCTAGAGAAGGTCACAGCAGGGTTGGTTTCAAAAGGCCTTCCAGGCCAGGCCAAGTGTTCTTTGCAGTGAGTTATATTCCCCTGGAGGACCTGGGAGAAGTGCACTAAGTTAGAGGTGCAACTGTAGCGATCGTGTCTCTGGAACGACATGCTAGGAGTCACGAGCTGGATACACTGAGCCAATGGCAAGCCAGAACCCTCTGAGTGAGTATTAATGACCCTGGAAAGGAGAGAGACTGTGCTAAGGGAAGATGGCTTAAGGGTGATGTGCTGTGTGCTGCTTTCACATAAGGACTGCTGTGGTTCATCCACAAAATGTAATTTAAAAACTAACGGCAAGTGACCCCGAATAGCATGTCTACATAATGTGACTGGTTACTGCCATCTTCTGAAGAAATATTTGTAAAGTTTGGAAACAGAACTATTGTGTGGACATTCCTTTCTTTTGCATATAAAGGCTAATGGCCAGGGATGTCGTGGGTGGCCTATGGCATGGAGTTTGGTACAATGTGGTAAAAGTACAAAGCTACCAGCAGGTGGGTTGTTATTCTATCAAGAAGAAGTAGGGTGTGGACCTGTATTTCTTGGTGCCAACACACATCCCCTTACACATTCAGTACTTCCTGGTATGGGATCATGTGTATCATTCACTTTCCACCAATGTAGTGGTCTCCAAACTGCGGCCCGGGTGCCAGATGCAGCCCTTTGCTTGCTTTTATCTGGGCCTTGGGGCACTATTTCATCTACTGATACCCACTATGGGGCATAATCCCCCCCACTGACACCAATGAAGTAGCACAATTGCTCCCAAATGACACCAATGATGGGGCACAATTTCTCACAATGACACCAAACATGGGGCCAAATGACACCAAAGATGGGACACAATTCTTCCTAATGACACCAAAGATGGGACACAATTCTTCCTAATGACTCCAACGATGGGGCACAATTTATACCAATGACAACAACAATAGGGCCCAATGACATCAATGAAGAGTCACAATTCCTCCAAATAACAACAGTTGAACATTGTTTTTTTCAACTGATGTCAGGACCTTTTCTATTCCCAATGGCCGTAGTCCGGGCCCCCATAAAGTCTGAAAGACAGTAACCTGGCCCTTTGTTTAGAAAGTTTGGAGATCCCTGCTCCAATGAGACAGCACTGGTCAATGGTAGTTGGCTGCACAGGCACCCAGAGCTGTCATGTGGGGGGGCAGGGATAGAGTCCTCAATTTTGTGGTTGCACGAGAGGAGGAAAGGAGCGTACATCTAAATATAACCATTAATGCAGCAATCCATGAAAACGTCCAGCATGCACCTTGCCCTAATAATCAAATGACAGATGTATCCAAAGACATAAAATCAGATTCGTGTTTCTTTTCCCTTTGCTGCAACAAAAACTGAAAATGAAGTGCCACACCACTGCTAAGAGGTCCAGATACAACTTTATTCCATTACAAGTCAGGAGACGATCCAAAAAGTAAGAATCACCATTTGAGGGTCCAAGAGTGCTCCCTTCATCAGGGCTAGAAAAAAAGCATCTTCATAGACCCATATTATGTGCTAGCCCTGACAAGGGGATGCTCTTGGACTTTTTGGATTGCCCCCTGACTTTTATTGGAATAAAGTTGTATCTGGACCTTTTGTGGTGCTTCATGGCCAATTTGTGTTACATTACACTGCGAGTCAAGGAAGTCGCGGAGATCCTCTGAGGCGTAGAAGCCGCCTGCTAGGGAACCAGATGACCTACATCAACATCAATACTTTAGCATGGCAATACCACTGAGATCACCCTACGGGGCCTTCGCTAGTTTTCCATTTTCCTCAACTCAGTGCAATGACTTGTGCAGAGCTTTACGGTGGTGCCTGAAAGGTCTCTTGTTGGCCAATCCTGGCCAATGCAGGTATTGGCCAGGATTCACCAAAACCATACTCTCCGCTCCTTGCATGACCTCCTGCTCTCTAGCTCCCTTGTCTCTTCCCATACACATCTCCAGGACTTCTCCAGAGCTTCCCCCATCCTCTGGAACTCTCTACCCCAATTTATCAGACTATCGCCTACTCTGCTCACTTTTAGGTGATCTCTGACACCTATCTCTTCAGGGAAACCCTTCCTGCCCTCAGCTAATAATGGAACTTTGGGTGGGGGGCCCATGGAACCCAGCTCACTTTGGAGAGGTGGGGAGACCCCTGTCTCAGCTCCCCATATTCCTCTTATGTATAAGTCATCCTGTGCCTGTTAGGGGTACAGGGTGAGCTGTCCTAATATTAGGGTGGGGGTTGTTGATTGTTTAATGCCATGTGGTTGCATCCCATTGTGTGTCTTGCTTGGGAGCAAACTATTATGGGATGTATGTGTTTGTGTATTGGCTTGGTGGGGGGTGTTTCCACCAGCCTCCCTCCTGATGGGACTGTCTGCTGGAGTGTCTCTGGTTACTAAAGGTAGATTGCCCCGCCCTGTGTCATATATCTTGAGTGTATATATCTTGTATCTGTGTTAAAATAAAGTAGTCTATTTCCTGGTTTTCTTCAAGATTAGTTTTGTCTAGTCTTGTATGGTCTGCTGTGGTGTCTGCGGTCGGTGTTCGGATGGGGAAGCTGTATCCTAAAGGAAGAACCAAAGTGCAGACGGGGTCCGGTTCCGTTACACAGAGGTCTAAGCTTCCTTCCTTCATCGCAAAGTAACCTTAACAACGCAAATCAAAACAGTCTCTTTCTACCAAGGCAAAGACCCTGCTGTTCCAGGTCCAAGAGTATTTATGCACACCTCAGCCTCCTGCTGGTCAGCATCTTGACCAGAGGTTGCATGAACATTCTGCCCAGGGTCCGCCTCTCCCAACCTTATGTAGCCAGGTGTCGGCGATATCATTATGCCATTTCAGGGACATTTACAGATGAGACTATGATGAATCCTTTACCCCCTAGTGCCCAGTACTGGGACTGCTACATCACTTCCTGTTAGCAGAGTGGATCCAGTTCTTCTGATAGCAGAGGATCTTGGGACCTATAGTCCTGAGGCTAATATGTACCCTTGAATGTATATATCTTGTATCTGTCTTAAAATAAAGTAGTCTGTTTCCTGGTTTTCTTCAAGACTGGTGTCGTCATGTCTTGTATGGTCAGCGGTGGTGTCCGTGGTTGGTGTTCGGATGGGGAAGCGGTCTAACAGAAGTACCCAAGTGCAGTCTGGGGCTGGTTCCATTACAGGGATCTTCTACTCCTCCTACCAGTCCATCCCCCACAGTTACTACCTTTTGTACCACCAGCCCCTCCCTCTTAGATTGTAAGCTCCCAGGATCAGGGCCCTCCTAACCCTCTTGAACTGTATTGTTGCTGTATTGTCTCCCGTTATATTGTAAAGTGCTGAGCAAACTGTTGGCACCATAAATCCTGTATAATAATAAACCACTGTACAACAGAACTTGGACTGAGAGATGGAGGGGCAGCACTAGGAGCCAGTCAGTTGTCCTAAGGAGGAATATTCAGAGGGATAAGCTCATCAGCCAGCTACTTTTCCTTTCACTGTCCAGTCATAGGATGGGGGGAGGGACCACACCAGGCATGCTTATGTACTTTTTCTCTTATTTACATTCACAATAACACATTTTTTGCATCTTATTGACTTCTTTGGTCTACAAACTACACCCTAGTACCACATTCCTCACAGTACCCCCTTCAGCATGTTTAACACGTATAGGTGGAAGGTAAGCCATGGCATGCCATCCCGAACAGGAGCCTTACTTTGCTTGGGACTGTAATATGGAGATCTCTGCCTTATATAGTAAATAATATGAAATACCGCCCAAAAAAAGTTCTATTGGTCTCACAATAGGACATAAAATCATTTTGGTTTGAGTGTTGCATGATGGAGTAACCGTCAGTCAAACAATCCCAGCACAGAAAACTGGTAATGATGGGGTAACTACAGGCTGGCACTCAATTGTTTGTAAGGTGAGGATATGACCAAGTCTTAAGATATCTGAATTGTTCAATGACCCCCCCCCCCCCCCTTGCG